GAGGTATATAGCTAATACCTACATGGTGCAATATCTGGAATAGCATTCAAAGTTGGCTCATTACTATATGCCACTGAGGATCTTTTGGGGGCAATAAATTTCCTGCCACTCACAAATTGTCAATTACTCAAAAGTGGCTTAATCAATATATCTTTGAAGACTCTTCTTGGCAAAATGCCAAAGGATATTAACCATGATCCTCTTCTGAACAATAGTTTTGGAATGTTAGAATTATCGAAACTAAGTAGCACTCTGGTGCAGTATTCAGGGGAGGGTAAAGGTTCAACCTTCTTCAAATCATCAGCTTCTAGCCCCAATAACTTTAATAGATGACCCCTCGCCAGCTGAATTGAACTCCAGTAAGGTAAATTGCCATTAATGGGATTAATGATGAGGGGCACCTGTTTTGGCTATAAGACCAGGCAGCTATTCGCGTCATAGGATGCGGAACTCATCATGTTGGTAGAATTTCGTTGACCAAGATTTCGTTGGCCAGTGCTTTCATTAAAGCCCCTCTTGGGATTCGACAGGGAACACCCTGTCGCTGCCACCGACTGCCGAGCAATCATCCCAGAACACCCACTGGTAGTCCAGGAGACCAAGAAGTTTAAAGTACTTACTATTCTATCAAGCTGAAGCTGAATGCTTGCTGTAGTTTCTGCAACCAGAAAACATTGCTGAGCCAAAAGTTCTACAAGGGTAGGCTCATGCAAGGGGTGGTTAGGGGCCGCAGCTTCAGCTAAGTCTTCATTCTCAGCTCAGGGGGTGATGTCCTCAGAAGCTCCAGGACCAGAAGACCGAGCCAAAACAAAGTTCTCAATTTTAGATTGCTTCAATAAAGGTTGGAAAGCCAAGTCAACGGGAGATCTGCTCCTTTTCCTTGTCTGCTGCCCAGCTTCCTCTCCAATCCCTTTCAGAGTCTCCATAGAAGGATCAGATAAGCCCTGAAGGCCGAATTCAGGCCCTTCAGTGGTTAGGTCCTGAGGGATAGGGAGGTCTGGGGACCAACCCTGAACCTCAGTTAAGCTGGAGGCCTTTCAGGCAGTAAGATGGGAGGTGGCCTAAGGGTTGAAGGATTCTTAGACACATTCTTAAGTCTTCCTGGCGCACTTAGTGGCCCTGGCAGGAGCCACTGAAATGGCGCAGGATCTGTGGCTGGCGGCCCTGGTGGTAGTCATACCCACTCTGGAGGAGGAGGCCCCAGTGGCATTGGAGGACAACTGAGGGGAGGTGGAAGCCCCAGCACTGTCCCCGGTAGTAGAGCGATCCGCCATGGCTATACTAGGTTGAAAAAGGCTCAAGCTCACGTTCAATGATAGGCCAAATGCCAATCGCAATTGAAGCAGAAAGCCGCAAGAGATCAAGCGCATTCTCCAGTAGAATGGTGGCAAACCGACCTCCGTGGAGCAAGAAAGCTGGTGATTTTACGTCACTGTGGGCGGGAAACAGAAACCACGCCCAGCCTGTCTGTTTTCAGCGTGAAATTGACTCCAAAATGGCCACCATGATTAGCAGCGGCGGTGGGAAATTCAAATTGGACAGGAAAAAATGGCCGCCAACAAAATGGAGAAAGCTAGCCTCGTAATTAACTAGCGACCGCAGCCGCGGCTCTCGGAAGCACTCGATGGCCAAGGTAAAGGCAGCGATCCAGCTATATAGCGACAGGGTGTCCAGACACTGTGCATCGCAAAGGCAAACCCCAGGAGATGGCGGACAGCGGGTAGAGTGGCCAGTGCAGGGCAGCGAACCAACTCCCAACCGCGACAAGATAAACGAAGGCGATCAACTGACCTTCCCAATAAATATCACCGAAGCGGCAACGCTTCCAAGGAAAATGGTTCCCTGGCCCCAAAGGCTCCAGGAACGCCAACAATCCAATTGCCACCTTAAACAAAAAGGAACGGACCTATATGTAGAGAAAGCCGATGCTTTCAGAAGCTGTTATACAAACGGAGTTCCAAGGGAATCCAAGCTGAATAATAATGATGATTAATTTTGTCTAATAACCTAGAGAGAAATGTTTTTGCATCTCTTTAGGCTGAACTGAGTTTAAAAACTGAACCAATCCAGTCAGAGGAGGCGTGGTCATCAATTTACATAACTCAGTCTCTAGGCTAATGGACACAGTTAACCCATGCTTGGATTCCCCAAGCAGCGCACAGCAGAATAAGTAACTCCATAAATCATCAATATAAAAGTATGTTTTATGGATTTTCTGCACTCAGATAATCCAGAAATAATTTTAGTAATTTACATTTTAAGTAAGCAATTTCTAAGGCAGCATTTATTATTTTACATTATAATTACACACTTTTATTTTTTCAATGAATTTCATATTTATACAAATAAAATAGGATGCTATGATAATTTACTTATATACAGAATTCAGAATCCCCCAAAATAAAATAGTTATTTAGGCTAGAATACAGACATAAAGCTAACATAGTGTTATAATTAATTATGAAAAACTGTCACTATTTCTGATATAATTGAACATTTTTATATTCTGTTAAACACAATAATGAAATATAGCTGTATCATGAAAAGCTCTGAAAGTAAAAATAAAGAAAAGTCTGAATTTACCTCCTGATATCGTGCTACGCCACCATTCACAGCAGCATCAATAACTCCATTCAGGCACATACTGAGTAGATTGATGTTCCCATGCATTTGTTTGTGTTGGTATTGGCTTATTAGTGTCCTTAATTCCTGATTTTTGTTCTCCACAACTTGAATAGCATTTTCCAATGGGCTTACTTCAACCTATAAATATACAACTATGTATCAATTTTTGTGTGTGTGTATACAAACATACATGCATACATACATATAAGCTTTTTGCTGTTTACTTCCAATTTTTTAAACTCACATTATATTTCCAAACTTGTCATTTTGAGTGTCTCTAATTGCTTAAAAGTAGTTAATAAGCAATTTACAAAGTGAGGTTAGCAAACTTAGTGTCCTTTAAAAGGCGCCAATTTCAATTGTAAGCAAGAGGCCTATTCCTGTTTCCCGACATTGCAGTTTCCTTGCAGGTAGCAGCCATCCTGAGCACATGTGGACAAGTTTGTGTCCTCTCCTTATGCTGAGAGGTTCTATTGGTCTTTGTTATGGTTGTCAGTTCTCCTTTCATGGAGACATCTTCAATGGACCACTCCTCTCCTGGGAGCCCTTCTATTAAATTGGTCTTAATTATGTAAAATACTCGTTTGTTACAACAAGCACATTTAACATGTTATTTTATCCATTAGATAAAAAATTACCCACTCTTTCTTTTTATGTTATACCTTAACTTACAAAAATAATATATTACCAATTCTCGTCTTTCCACTTCAAACCACCGAGAGATTCCAGGTAAACTGTGAGTCAGGGTTAGAGTGGTACGTTCAATCCACAAGCTCTACAAAAGAAAACATAATATAGGAAATGTAAAACCAAATGTGCATTATTTTATTTGTCTATTTGCAAGTCTTACAGACTGCTCCAATGTAGCATACAAAAAAATCAATGAAAACAGCAATTAAAATGAATTACTCTGAAAGAGCCCAATCCCATGACTGTAAAACCATTATAACAGAATAGCCTTCCTGGCTGTAGAGGAATATGGAGATAACCTTGAAGAACCTACATAAGAACAATCAACTTAGCTCTGGAAAGGAAGAGGGGATGATAAGGAAATTCAAGAAAATCATACCTTGATTCTGTTTGGTATCAGTGTGGACAGAGGGAAACTTTGATAGGCTTATAAGACTCTGTTACTTACTTACTTACTTACTTACTTACTTACACACACACACACAAACACGTATATGTATGTATATATATTATATACATACACACACACACACACACACATATATATATTTGTAGATTTTCACGGGTGTAGGTATGCTGGTCTTGTTGTATTTGGGTCTTTTCCTGTGTAAGATTGTCTTGGCAATGTTTCAGCGAGGTCTCACTCGCCATCTTCAGGCTGGGTTTTGGGCTTAAAGTGTGATTGGAGCTGCCGTCTTTCTATAAATCTTGGTGGGAGGGGGTGTGTGTGGAGTGCTGGCATTGTTTCAGTAAGTGGAATGATTGGTTGTGTGGTTGTATCATGATTGGTAGATTGGTGCTGATTGGTGCTTAAAGCCCAAAACCCAGGCTGAAGATGGTGAGTGAGACCTCGCTGAAACGTTGCCAAGACAATCTCAATCTTACACGGGAAATAGGTATGTATTATGTCACAATACATACATACATACATACATACATACATACATACATACATACATAC